TTGGCTGTTGTGATGAGTACTACTTTTGTGATTTCCTTTTCTGTGGTCTTGTCCAATGTGTATAGCAGTCTGGTAGACTTCTGTTTGTTGATCTTGTATCCTTCTACTCTGCCATAATTCTCTATTCCTTCCAGCACTCCTCTTATGGAGCTTTTGAGATTTTCCATATATAAAATCATATCTGCAAATAACAATAGTTTAACCTCTTCCTTCCTTAGGCAAATAGCTTTGATGTCTTTCCTTTGCCAAATGTTAGTTAGAATCTGCAGTACTATGTTAACTAAGAGTGGGGGCCAGGGGGATCCTTATCTGCCCCTCTTTTTGGATACACAAAAAAGGCTCTATTTGCAAGGCAGGGTTAGTCAAACAAGCCAAAGCCCATGCTCTCATCTGACTCCTCAGATTCCTCCTTCTCATCTTTCTTCTCCTCTGCAGGTGGGGCTGATCCCGAAGCAAGAGCCACTGAACCCTGGGCAGTGGAAATTGCCACAGTGCCACCCACAGGCACACTGTCAATCTTGCCAATACCCTGGGCAATAATGTCTTCAATGTTCATCCTGTTCAGCTCATTGATGACCTTGTTGAACCAGTCATCGTTGGCCTCAATGCCCACCATGTCCAGAATTTTCTTGATGTCCTTGGCGTTGGGAGACGTATTACCCCTTAGGGTGGCTAACAGGTAGGAGGCAACATAGCGCATTTCTGCAGCGGTGGACAGGCCTTATGCGTGCGACCTCGACGGCTTCAGGGAGGAAAAGGAAGGCCTCTGGTTTCCTTTTTCAGTGGGATTTTCTGTCTCTTCTCCATTGACTACCACGTTGACTGTTGGTTTTTAATATATAGCTTGTATTATATTGAGGTATTTGCTTTCCATTCCTATCTTCTTGGGTGTCTTAAACAGGAATTGGTGTTGGATGTTTTCAAATGCTTTTTCCACATCTGTTGATATTATCATGTAGTTCTCATAATTTTTCATATCAATGTTGCAAATAATACTAATGGTCTTTCATATGTTGAACCATCCTTGCATCCCTGGTATGAATCCCACTTGGTTATGATGAATTATTTGTTTTATATAATTTTGTATTCTAGAGGCCAGTAGTTTGTTAAGGTTTTTGCATCAATGTTCATTAGGGATATTGGTCTGTAGTTCTCAATTCTTGTGGGATCCTTGCCTGGTTTAGGTATCAGAGTTATACTAGCTTCATAGAAGGAGTTCATGAGTTTAGCCTCTTTTTCTATGTTCTGGAAGAGTTTGTGTAGAATTGGTGTCAATTCTTCCCTGAATGCTTGGTAGAATACTCCTGTGAATCCACCTGGCCCATGGGATTTTTTCTGTTGGTAATCCTTTCATAATCTTGTCTATTTGTTCTATTACTATGGGTCTGTTGAGATTCTTGACATTCATTTGGGATGTCTAGTGAGGGATTGTTTTTCCACGTATTTGTGTATGTTTTCCAGGTTGTTGAATTTATTGGAGTACAGGCCTTCATAGTACTATGTAATTATCCTTTGGATGTCATTAGGTTCTGTTATAATGTCACCTGTTTCATCCCTCATCCTTTCTATTGAAATTTGCTCCTTCCTTTCCTTGGTCATGTTTGACATAGATCTGTTGATTCTGTTCCTTTCAAAGAAGCAACTTTCAAAGCTACATTAATTTTTGCCATAGTTTTTTTAATATCCCCCTCATGAATCTCAGCCATAATTTTTATTATTTATTTTCTTTTGCTATTGGTAGGATTGTCCTGTTGATTCTGCCCTAATTACTGTAAGTTTTGTGTCAGCATATCAATCATAAGTCTCTCTTCTTTTTTCATTTGTGCCTGTATTGCTCTCAAACTTGCTCTCATAACTGCCTTTGCTGTGTTTCAAAGGTTGTGGTACATTGTATTCTCATTCTTGTTGGTTTCTAGAAGCTTCCCAATTTCATCTCTTATCTGGGCCAATACCCACTCCTTTTTCAATAAAGTTATTCATCCTCCAATTGTTTTCAAAATCATCCTTTTATTGATTACCAGCCTTTTGGCATAGTGGTGGGAGAGACGCGTCAATATGATCTCTATGTGCTTGAATTTATACAGATTTGACGTTTTCCAGCATGTGGTCTATCTTAATGCTGGGCTTGAAAATAATGTGCCTTTTTTTGCATTTTGATAGAGAGCTCTGAAAATATGTGTCAGGTCAAGTCGTCTAATTGTAATATTTGGATCTATAGCCTCCTTATAAAGTGTCTTTTCCTGTGATCTATCTTTCTTGGAGAGTGGTGTATTAAAGTCATCTAATATAACTGTTGAATCTATTATTTCTTTTTTCATCTTTTAGAGTGTTTGATTCAGGAATTTCATGGGTCTCTAATTGGCTGCGTATATATTCATTATGATCACTGATTCTTGGTCTACTGTTTCCTTAAGCATTATATAGTGCCTCTCCTTATCTCTTGTTAGGGGTTGCACCTCAATTCTGTCTGAGATTAGGATTGTAACCCCTGCTTTTTTTGAATTGCCATTTGCATGGTATATTTGTCTTCATCCTTTGATTCTCAGCCTATTTTTGTCCATAGTCTTGAAATGTGTCTCTTGAAGGTAGCAGATCAATGTGTTATGTTTTCTAAGCCACTCTGCTAGCCTCTGCCTTTTAATGCCTGAGTTCAGTCCATTGATATTCAGGATAATTACATCCATCTGTGGACTCTGTGATGTCATCTTGTACCTTTTGTATTGGGTGTTTTCCTACCTCCCTTTCTTATCAGGGTGTGTGCATAGTTCATTCTGGCCTCTTTCCACAGTTGAGCCAATGCTATTTTTGGGGGTGGGTTCTCTGTGTTGCCTTCTGGGTGGAGTTGTTCTATGTGGCTGTGTCTTATTTTTGCTCAGTGTGTGCTGTTTTTATACCCATAATGGGTCAGCAATGATCATTTGTAGAGTTGGTTTTCTTTTAACATATTCATTGAGTTTCTCCATGTCTGGGAATACTCTTCCTTCTCCGTCTATCTTGATAGATAATTTGGCTGGATAGATTATTCTTGGGTTTGTGCTATTTTCCTTCAATTTTGGAATATGTTACCACATTCTCTCCTTTTCTTCATAGTGTCCACTGATAGGTCTGAGCATATTCTTATATGGTTGCCTTTATAGGTGACTGCTTGTTTTTC